AGTAGTAGTCGTAGTAGTAGTCGTAGTAGTAGTCGTAGTAGTAGTAGTAGTAGTAGTAGTAGTAGTAGTAGCAGTAGTAGTAGTAGTAGCAGTATTAGTAGTAGCAGTAGTAGTAGTAGTAGCAGCAGCAGCAGTAGTAGTAGTAGTAGTCGTAGTAGTAGTAGTAGTAGGAGTAGGAGGAGTAGGAGTAGGAGGATAGGAGTAGGAGTAGGAGTAGGAGTCAAGCTAGCCAGCTCGAGCGAGTCAAGCATGGCATGCCCAGTCCCACCCGCCCTCCCACAACATAAGAAGCAAAGCTGGCACAACTGGGGGCCGAAGTCACACCGGCCAGCCGGTTTGGTACAGCTGATGCGGCCGCGATGGCGGTTGCCGACGGGAACTGGCGAGCGCGTGTTGAATGCCGCGCACGCATTGCCAGACGAGTCGAGAATGGCCTGGTACACCGCAGGAAGCCAGAGGTGGCCGGAGGAAGCCCGACGGTCTGACAGGACACCCCAAAGCATTTTTGTGAAAAAGCATTGGGTTTTTGATGTTTTTATGTTGAAATGCTTGCAAACACACGGTGTTCGGTAGGATTCTGACATGAACGCGCGAGTGTGCTCTTTGTGGTATTTTTTGCACAGGATTCGCGGCCTGGGTGCATGACAGAGCATCGCGAGTGCACCGCGCGATGACGTGAAATCGCTGGATTTGACAGAATTCTTAAGATTCCTATGGTTTTCCTATGATTTCAGCAAGAGAGCCCGGGCGGGAAATTTGTACAATTTTTGTGAAAAAGCATTGGGTTTTTGATGTTTTTATGTTGAAATGCTTGCAAACACATTGTGTTCGGTAGGATTCTGACATGAACGCGCGCGTGTGCTCTTTGTGGTATTTTTTGCAATGGATTATCGCCGTGGACGACAGGACGTCCATGTCGAGAGGAAAAAATAAGAAAAATGTTGATTTTATATTGTTTTTTACAGGTTAGGATGGGACCCCCCGGATGCGGCCCCTAATGGCCGGCCTGAGGGGGGAGTAGGAGTATATTCTAATAAGGAATAAGGATAGGAGTAGTAGCAGCAGTAGTAGGAGGAGGAGGAGGAGCAGGAGTAGGAGTAGGAGTAGAAGTAGGAATAGGACAAGGAGAAGGAGTAGGATTAGGAGTAGTAGTAGTAGCAGTAGTAGTAGCAGTAGTCGTAGTAGTAGTAGTAGTAGTAGTAGTAGTAGTAGTAGTAGTAGTAGTAGTAGCAGTAGTCGTAGTCGTAGTTGTAGTAGTAGTAGTAGTAGTTAGTAAGTATTTGTTATAGATTCGTAGTAGTAGTTAGTAGTAGTAGTAGTAGTAAGTAGTAGTAGTAGTCGTAAGTAGTAACTACTACTACTAGTACTAGTAACTAGACTACAAGTACCTCGTCCGTCCGTCGTCTCGTCGTCGTCGTCCGTCGTCGTCGTCGTGTAGTAGTAAGTAGTAGTCGTAGTAGTAGTAGTTAGTAGTAGTGTGGTGGTGGTGGATGTGTAGCGTAGTAGTAGTGGTATGTAGTGGTAGTAGTCGTGGTAGTGGTTAGAGGTAGTGGAAGTGGTAAGGGGTAGTGGTAGTAGTTGTGTAGTATAGTAGTAGTAGTAGTAAGTAGTAGCAGATAGTAAGTAACGTAGTAGAAGTAAGTCAGTAGTATCGTAGTAGTCGTAGTAGTCGTAGTAGTCGTAGTAGTAGTAGTAGTAGTAGTAGTAGTTGTAGTAGTAGTAGTAGTAGTAGTAGTAGTAGTAGTAGTAGTAGTAGTAGTAGTAGTAGTAGTAGTAGTAGTAGCGTCAGAACCGCCGACGCCACGCCGCAAGTGAAGCAGCAGCAGAAGCAGGCAGCAAGTCGCCGAGACGACAGCAAAAGCAAGCAGACACGGAGATGAGGGCGGGGCACTGGGGAGTTCTTTACATCTACATCTATATCTACACCTACATCTACATCGACACCTACATCTACATTTAGACTTGCATCTACATCTACACCTACAGCTAAACGTACATCTATATACATATATATATATATATCAGCAGTATAACATAGAGTAGCATAGCATAGAATAGCATAGCATAGCATAGCATAGCATAGCATAGCATAGCATATTTATATATATATAGCAGCAGCAATAGTGGATGCTCTGCTGCGCTATGCTATGCTATGCTATGCTATGCTGTGCTATGCTGCGCAATGCTATGCTGGGCTAGGCTAGGCTAGGCTAGGCTAAGTTATGTTATGCTATGCTATGCTGCGCTGTGCTATGCTGCGCTATGCTATGCTATGTTATGTTATGCTATGCTATGCTATGCTATGATTTTGCTTTGCCGATGTTGTTGCCTTCACTTTTGCCTTTGCTTTTGCTTTTGCTTGGCACCCAGGGAGCGCAACTGGGGGAACCGCGCGTTTGCTTTTACCTTTGCTGTTGCTTTTGTTTGGCTCCCAGGGGACTGGGGGAACCGCCCGGGGCGATTTCCACTGCCCGGCCCCTTGAAGCGAAGCGAGTAAGAACCCTTCTAGGCAGAGCCTAGGTGGGAAAAAACGCACGGGGCCGTGTCGTGCGCGGTCTCCAGGCTGCCAGCACTGCGCAGCCACAGCGCCACAGCGCCAGTGGTAGTTTCGCATCGCGTAGGGGAGAAAGAGGAGGAGGAGGAGGAGGAGGAGCAGGAGGAGGAGGAGGAGGAGGAGGAGGAGGAGAGAGGAGGAGGAGGAGGCGGAGAGAGCAAGAGGAGAAGAAGGAGCGGCCCCCAGCAACAGCCAGGGGAAGCAAAGGACAGGCTCAGCAATTCCAGTGTTCAGAATCCGCCGCGGGCGTTCAGCGTTGGACGCTGCCTGCGACCCAGAATCTGTCGATGTGGAGCGATCTGAAGCGGCCGATCGTTCAAGGTTGAACTATCCCTGCGGTGTCAGAAACCAACGCCGAAGTCGGCACGACACGAGCCTGCCGTACCCACGCCAAGCTTGCCTGCCCCCCTTGGATGTTAGCTCGCCATGTGTGTGTGTTATCATGCAGCGCTGCGACATTGGGTCTCTACGGTGGGGGCGTTCGACAAGGAATGTGCCAAGAAGGCTCCAGACCCTGGAGAATTCCCTCTCTGCTGGGGGCGGTGGTGATATCAATAGACACTCAACGATCGGAGTTCCACCTGGCTTCGACCCTGGATTCCTAATCCAAGAGTTCCTCATCTGGTGCCCTCCTCGCATGCACGGCGCATTCGTGAAGGTGGCAAGTCCGGGGTTCCCGTGGGATCCCCCCCCAGGACCAACCGCTTGCGCCATTACAACCAGATGCTTTCGTCTGTTGCTCACCTACATGTACCATATGTTGAACATTTCCACATCATATCATGAGCTGGACACACTTACACATTGATTCCTGAAGAGGCAAAGTTAAATATCATTTGAAGTGTAAGATGTCCACGGCGCTGCCACTGAGATCCTCCATCCTTAATCCAGATCACATTTCCCACAATCAAGTTCACAAGCACAATCAACGTGTAATCAATTTACATGTTGATGTTGATTGCCAGGGGGTTCTACAGGCAGCGGTGTGGGGCCACGGCAATTTACCAGGGAAGTTCGTATTTTACATGGCCAAACAGGAAAGATTGAGGAAGGCTTGCGACCAATAAGAAAGCTGAAAGTCATAGGTTTCCTCTGTGTTTCTTGTCTCCCCTCTTGAAAGCACAAGTGTTGTTTCTGCTGTTCCTGCTTCCTTTCTTCCCTGGTACGCTTCCTCGGCCCCACGGCGCCGCCATCAGGATTCTCTACAATGAAAACCAATTGGACAGCCCCACAATCACAATCAATGTGTAAATCCATAAAATTAATATGACATTGAAAATTCCCACAAATTCCCACAATCAAACTCAATGCGTATATCCCCACAATTCGTATCAATGTACAGTTCAGATAATTTGATTGTACGAGATTTCCAGAGGCAGCGCCGTGGTGTCACGGAAGCTTACCAGGAAAACAGGAAAGACGGAGAAACAAATCCTGGCGAAGGTCCCAACCATGTGCAGTTGTGGGTACCGTAATTGTGAATATCTGTTTCGGTGAAGCTCCCTCTGAGGCCACGAAGCGCTGCACTGGGCGGGGGGGAATGCTGTACTCTGTGGGTGGTGTGCCGAATTGGGCTTCCGGGACGCATGCGGACGGTCCCACTGAGGGCTTCGGTGGAGCTCCCTATGGGGCCACGACGCGCTCTACTGAGTGAGTGAAAATGCCAAATTGAGTTTCCGGGACGCACGCGGACGGTCCCATTGGGGGTTTCGGTGGAGCCCCCTTTATGGGGCCACGAAACGCTGCGCTGCGCGGGTGAAAATGCCAAATTACATTTCCCGGACGCATACGGACGGTGACACTGGGGCCTTGGGTGGAGCCCCCTTATGGGGCCAGGAACCGCTGCACTGGGTGGGTGAAAATGCCAAATTGGTCTTCCGGGACGCATGCGGACGGGGGCAATGGGGCCTTCGGTGGAGCTGCTTTTGGGGCCGCGAAACGGTGTACTGAGTGTGCGGGACGCATGCGGACGGTAGCACTGGGACCTTCGGTGAGGCTCCCTATGGGGCCACGAAACGCTATACTGGGTGTGCGGGACGCATGCGGACGGTACCACTGGGACCTTCGGTGGAGCTCCCTATGGGGCCACGAAACGCTGTTCTGGGTGGGTGAAACGCAGGGAGGAAGGAGAGGAGGGCCACGAACGCTGTAGTGGGTGTGCGGGACGCATGCGGACGGTAGCACTGGGACGTTCGGTGGAGCTCCCTAGAACGCTGTATTGGGTACGCGGGACGCATGTGGACGGTAGCACTGGGACATTCGGTGGAGCTCCCTATGGGGCCACGAAACGCTGTACTGGGTGGGTGAAACGCAGGAAGGAGGGGGAGGAGGGCCACGAAACGCTGTATTGGGTGTGCGGGACGCATGCGGACGGTAGCACTGGGACATTCGGTGGAGCTCCCTATGGGGCCACGAAACGGTGTATTGGGTGTGCGGGACGCATGCGGACGGTAGCATTAGGACTTTCGGTGGAGCTCCCTATGGAGCCACGAAACGCTGTACTGGGTGTGCGGGACGCATGCGGACGCTATAACTGGGACCTTCGGTGGGGTCCCTATGGGGCCACGAAACGCTATACTGGGTGTGCGGGACGCATGCGGACGGTAGCAATTGGACCTTCGGTGGGGCTCCCTACGGGGCCACGAAACGCTGTATTGGGTTGGTGAAACGCAGGGAGGGGGGGGGGGGAGGAGGGCCACGAAACGTTGTACTGGGTGTGCGGGGCGCATGCGGACGGTGGAGAGTAGGAGGGGGCAGAGGAGGAGGGGAGAACGTGGGGACAGTCTCTTCAAAACGAGGACCCAACACCACAGGATGGTTGGGAACTTGTGCTTTTACATGGAAGGACAGGACACATGAGGAAAGCCTGGGATTGTCAGCGCTCTTATTGGCGCAACACCAAAAAACTGGCAGCCACAAGTGTTCCTACGTTGTTCCTGTTGTCCACTGTGGGAAAAGAGAAAGCATAATTGTCATGTGGTCCTGCTTTCCTGATATGCGTCCGCGGCCTCACGGCGCCCCCATCAGGATTCCCTACAAGTTATGTGTATGCATATATATACACATATGTGTATAAATGTATATGTATGTGTATACATATATATATGTGCATATACATATATACATATATACATATATATATATATACATATATATGTGCGTGTGGTCAACCCCCCTAGCGGCCCGCGTGCCCCAATCGCCGCGTTGTCTGTTTATTGTGTGTTGTTCTCTTTCTCTCTCTCTCTCTCTTTTCCCTCTCTCTCTCTCTCTCTCTCCCCCCCATCTCTGCCCTCTCTCTCCTCTTCCTCTTTTCTCCCTCTCTCATCTCTTCTCCCTCTCCTCCGCCCCTCCTCCTCCCTCCTCCTCCTCCTCCTCCTCCTCCTCCTCCTCCTCCTCCTCCTCCTCCTCGGCCTCCTCCTCCTCGTCCTCCTCCGCCTCCTCCCCCTCCCCTCTTCCTCCCCCTCCTCCTCCTCCTCCTCCACTCCTCCCCTCCTCATCATCATCATCACCATCATACTCATCAACATCTCATCTTCATCATCATCACCACCATCATCATCAGCAGCATCATCATCATCATCATCATCAGCATCATCCATGTCCTCTTCCTCTGTCCATCCTCCTCCTCCTCCCCCTTCCTCCTCCTCCTCTTCCTCCTCCTCCTCCTCCCCTCCTCCTCCTCCTCTTCCGCCTCCTCCCCTCCTCATTCTCCTCCCCCCCTCCTTTCCCTTTGCCAAGAAGGTTTGCTGGAGGAGCGTGGCCACCAAACCATGCGATTCGCATGTTTTCTTGGCTTTCTGATCAGGGAAGCAACGAAACCCTGCGATTCACAGGTTGTTTGTGTTTGTAGGGTTTTCAGGAGCTCCAGAACCCCCCGCGGCCCTCCTCAGGCCAAGCTTGTAGAGTTTGTGAATATATGTTTTTCGTGGTCTCCCTGACCCCAAACATGTGAATAGCATGGTTTGGCTGCGCATGTTCCTCCATACCCCCCTCCTCCTCTCCCCGCCCCGCCCTCCCCCCGCTTCCTCTTCCTCATCATCCTCCGCCTCCTCCTCCTCCTCGTCCTCCTCCTCCCCATCCTCCCCTTCCTCCCCCTCATCATTTCTTTCCCCCTCCTGCTCCTTATCCTCCTCCCCCCCCCATTCCCCGCTCCCTCCTGCTCCTCCTCTTCATTTTCCTTCCTCCTTTTTCCTTCTCCCCCCCCGTTCCCCCTCCCCCTTCTCCCCCCCCTTCTCCTCCCCCTCCTCCTCCTCCCACCCCACCTCTTTATACATCTGCTGATCATCCCCATCACCCTCGGCCCCCACCCCCTTGCTATCATCGATACCATGTCGCCGCATTGACCACCCTTGCAAGTGCCCTTCCTCTTCCAGGGAACTAAGCGCGTGAATCTAAACTGATCAGCCAACCACCGTGAAGGCAGTGCCAGGCGGCCACGATGAAGATTTCTGTTGCGACGACGAGGACGAGGGCGAGGACGTCGACGACGACGACGACGAGGGCGGTAGCCGAATTGCCGATCAACTGATTTTCATACGCGGCTGCGAAAGCTGACCTGGCTTGAATCAAAACAGGGCCAGACAGGTTGATCGCCCGCCAGCGTGGGGTCAATTTACGCCAGACTTAACAGGAAAGCCTACTACGCGCCAACCCCAGCTGGTTTCAGCAACGGCACCGAGGCCAATCATCACGCGCGGCTTCGCAGGCGCTGATGGTTCTTCAAAGAATGGTCAACAGAGCGTCCTGATGCCCCGCTGGCATGTGATCACTACATGCAAGACTTGCTCGGAGTGCTTGCTACGCACCCCAGCTGCGCACAGCTGCGCCCGTCGAGCAACTCACCGGGCGTGCTCGCCGGCCCACGCCTCGCGGAGCATCTGGCCAGTGGCGAGCCGCAAGTCGCAGCCGCGGCGCCGGCGCTCCCGCTGCACCTTGCACGGGCCAGAGAGCACGTGAAAGCGACGCCTGTCGCGTTGGACTGCCCCTCCAAACCTCAGCGAAGGCCCGCGCCCCGCGCACTGCGGCGGCCCCCCTGCTTCGCTGGAGAGTGGAGAGGCGGCGCCGACGTCAACGGAAGCTTTGCACGCCGTTCCCCTTGCTTATCTTGTTGCGGGGAATGGCGGAGTTCACCTCCTTCGCCTCGCCCTCGCCGACCGCCCAGCGCAGCTCGCCCCACGCGCGGTCGATCAGCTGGGTGCCGCACTTCACCCGCGAGCGCTTCGCCCCGCGAGGCTCGCCCTGGTCTGGCACGCTGCGGTAGCGAACCTTCGCAAAGGCGGGGAATCCATTTTGGGGGCCCCCGTGCTTCCCCTCCCTTGAGCCCGCGAATAATGATCCTCATCTGTATTCCTCTGCCTCTCTCCTGCCCCCTGCCCCCGCTCCGCCCCTTCGCCCGCCCGCGCCGCTTTCCCCGCCCGGCAGGCGCTCGTCGGCTAGCCCCGGCGCCAGTCGGGCAGCGGGGGCCCTAGCCGGCCCAGGCGGAGGCAGCGCGTCCTCCACCGGCGCAGCCGGCGGAAGAGACGGTCGACCTGGGCGCGCGGGCAGACGGCGCAGCCCCTTTGTCCGCGAGACCCCAGCTGAGCGAGAGGGGTCGTTTTTTTGTCGCCCCCCAGACCTGCCTCTTCTTCTCCTCCTCGGATTTCGCCAGCTCGGCCTCCGCCGCCCGTTTCTGTCGCTGGAGTTTATTGGTCATCCCTCTTCAGGTCTCTGTTGAGCTTTCTCTCTTGCCGCGCGTCAAGGCAGTTCGCGAACCCCTCGCGGGCGCGGCCGCCGCGCTCCAGGTTCAGCCCCTGCGAACGCTGGAAAACCAACGGCGCGCCCCAACACCCGCGTTCAGTTTCGGCCGCGGCGAGAGGCGCCGCAGAGCAGCACTACTCGCCGAATCAAGACTACAAGGTGGAAGGGGTTGCGCGGCTGGCCCCCCAGTCCCCCGCTAGCCTGGCGAGTTTTCGCGACTTCCCAGTGCCTGGGCGAGCGAGCTGGCGACGCCTGTGTTTCGGGGGGCACAGTCGCGCGCCTGCGCGGGGGGCGCGGCACATCCGCTGATAAATGTTCCCCCTGCCTGGGTTTGAGGGGCCCAGTTCCCGGCGTCTCGCGCGCGGGGGGGGCTCGACGCGGCCGCCTTCTGGCGCCAAAGTGGCCCCACCTTGAGCTCTGCCTCGTAGACCCCGTCGAAGTCGGGGAAGAGCTCTTCGCGTTTGCCGCCTCAACGCGCGAGCCGGCGCCTTTTGCCCCATGCCTCGTTGCACTCCTTGCGCGCCCGGCTCTTGAGCCCCCAGTGTTTTTTTTTTTGTTTCGTCGGCCCGCCTGCCTTCCCAGGCATTGCCGGGCGCTTCGAGCCAGAACGAAACTACAGATAGCGATTTGCGACCATTTGCAAAGTCTGCCCCCCTCTTCCCCCCCACGCCCCTCCTCGC